AGTTACCTCTAGCAGTAAGTCCTGTTCTTCCCTTTGACTGGTCAGGAATGCAGGAATAACTCCCTGCAGCCAGGCCAGCATGTGGAGAATTTCTGAAGTCTTTGGAAAAATGTATTCTTTTTCATAATCTAAGCAGGGAAGTGGAGTTTAAGAACAAAGCAGTGAAAACGCTGAAGCAGGTAAAGCGTGGCGTAGAAAGCAGCAATCCCTCCCACCAGCAGCAACCCAAAGAAGCAAAGGTTCTTACACAGGAGCTGTGCTTCTGGCCTGGGATAGAGGACAAAGACCTCTTCACAGGAGGAAATGGGGGAGAAAGAAGAGGACTTTTGTTGCCGAGAAAGGGGTAGGACAAAAAGGGGAAGGGCAGTGGCTCGATTATTTTTGGTAGTCTGGGGTGCACTGATCTGGGTAAAGAGAAATGGAGCACTGTGAAGAGAGGCAGGTAGAACAAACCTGAGCCAAAATACAAGAGGAGAGAAAAGTAACTGTTTTTAAACCTACATTTGTAAGTCTTGTCTGTAAGAAATCTTTTTCTAAATGATTGTCACTTGATCACACATGAAAGATGCTGCATCTTGGACCGTGAAATGTCTGCCTGCGGTATTTGTAATTAAAACCTTTCCAACGCCTAATTTAGATACACTGGAAGTCAGATGGGGACAAGCTGTTTTCCTGGAAATAGATAAGGACTTCCAGCTGATGGCCTTCTCTTAAGTTAGAGCCAAGACTTCATTATGTCATGGCAAAAACGAAAGGAATGGAGGTGCACATGTACTACTCGTGGGATAGTCAGCTTGGAGCTGTGCTCTGAGACACTCTTACTGCCAGTGCTGCATCCTACCACGGAACTGGTGATGGACCTTTGGCTCTCTCCCCTGGCCATCCAGTGAGCAGCACACGATGCTGGCTGACAGAGGATATTTAACAGTGGCTCAAGAACCTCAATCTGTAGGAGGATATGCTGTAACTGAAATGGAAAGGGAACTTAACCCAACTGGGAACACTGAGGATTTTGTTAACCTTTCCGTGTATGCCTTTGTACTCCTCGCTTTTTTAAATTTAGTTGCTACCTAGGAGTACAGCAGCCTTTTTGTCACAGTCAGGTAGTGATTTCAGTGTATCTGCTTAAGCACAGCTCTTCAGCATTGCTTTGTGTGCATGTGGTGCCTCTGAGTTCTTCTGAGATCGGTTTTCTTCAGAGTTGGTGTGTAATCTCAGTAGCAAAGCTGTGCCTCTCACAAAGAGGCAGCCTCTCCCCAGGGATTTCTACAGCCAAATGTCAGAGGGTCAAGTCCCACCTGTAACTGAAAGCCTCAGAGGATTCTCTAGTGTGCGAGTTTGCTCTTCAATGTGCTGCTTTTGGTGAGGTACTAGGAAGGAATTCTTCACTGCAGGAGTGGTGAGCCACTGGAACAGGTTGCTCAGATAAGCTGTGGATGGCCCCATTCCTGGAGTGTTCAAGGCCAGGTTGGATGGGGCTGTGAGCAAGGTTGGTGTAGCAGGGGAGTTGGAACTACATGATTTTTAAGGTCCAGTCCAACCCAAACCGTTCTGTGGTTTACAATTCTATGAATTAATTAGTATGGTTTTACTGGTGGTAGTGGAGAATGTGACCTTAGGATGAAGGAGCTTTGGTCAGGTTTGTAACATCTGAAATGAATAGAAGAACACGAGAACATTGGAAAAGTCAGTATCTAGCTGTACTCCCAGACTTTTTCAATCCCGTTGAAAAACCTGTCATTTTGTACCCATGTGAAAGCAGAACTCACTTTTACATCTGAAGCTGGTGGCTCACGTAGGAGACTCCAGGCTTAACTCATCTTTGGCAAGCAGTGACTTTTCTAGATGTGGGAGTGGAATGAAACTCATGTGAAGTGAGCATGGTTTATACAGAAGGCATTGAGACATATGCAGTCAAGGTATCAACTGATTTTACAGATAAATGCATTTTTATTTTTCCTACAACTACTCTTGTAAGTTGCAGGATGAAAAGGTTGATGCTGTGTAACGCACAGGGAAGAAAAATAGTCTTAACTGAGTTGCAACTCAGAATAAAGGTCTGAGTATCAAAATGTTTGGGTAGCGACAAGAAAAGTTGAAAGGAAAACCCTATCCCAGAGACTGCTGTTTTAACTCTCTCCTGGACATCTTGCTTGGAGAAGGGTTCTGGGCCCTGACACAACTCAACTTATCTCAGTAAAGCATGTTGAAAGAAAGGCTGAGCTCTTGGGATCCTCTGCAGCTTGATTTCATCAATTTTAGGGCTTTGGAGAATTCCATCTGAGGTGATGAAGGATGAGAGAGCCAGTGGCAGTCAGGAGTTGATGAGGAAATGAAGAGGTGCCCGAAGCCCCAGTTCTCACTCGCCCTGACACGTGCAGCAGGGATCTCTGTTGCGTGTGAAGATTGTCACTGCCAGAACAAGATAAGTGCAATTCTGCCTCGTAGAGACAGTTCAAACAGCAGGTGTTAAGCTTATTAAGTGAAGAAGATCCAAGTGACACTATCTACTTGTGATCTAATTGTTCTCCAAAAGAGATAGTGTTTTAATAAGCTTACAACAGCTCCTGCCTTGCAGCAAATTAAACAACTGGGTCATTTCTTCCTTCATTTCGCTTGAGGGTGAGGGAAAAGTGTCGCTGATAAAGTTAATGCAGCTTTTATTCAAGATCAGAGCAAGGAATCTGTTGAGACTTTTTTTAGCCCTGGTGTGTGCTTATAAGGCAGGCAGCCACGAGAGGAGCTTTGAAGACATTTTTACTGTAAGAGTCATACTGCTCCATAGGAAAAACAACTTAAAAACCTTTCTGCTTCTTCCTATGAAAAACATTTAGTGTATTGATATTTATAGCTGGCAAAAGCATTTCAGTGCTGCAGGCCTGCCTCTTGCTGCATAAAACAAAGCAAGAGCAATATGTCATTTAAGTCTTTCAAAACAGTCTGTCTGCAGAATAAATTTCATGGCAAGTACTGGAATAAAAGGGTGAAGATGTCTGGGAAGTTACCAGTTAATTTCTGTGGCTTGTCTGCCTCCTATTGAAATCCAGCAGAAAGGGTTCACAGTTGTGCTGTAGCAGGGAGGTGTGATTTTCTGAGTATGAGAATATTAAGAATTGCCTGGAGATGGGGAGAGTCCCCAGCCTTTTCTATTATTCCACCCTCCCCTTGCCTTCAAAATTGCCCTTTAAGGAGATGAAGCAGTGAACATCTACTGTCACGTGTCCTAGGTGAAAGAAGGATCCCAGCCCTTTCCACTTCAGAAGACGTCTGCAGGGATGGCAGTATCACATAAATCAGACTGTTCCTTCACGGTTTGGTTTCTTTTGTGGGAGAGGTGGCATTGCAGGCAGGGGTCTGAGTTAAAATGTCCTAAGGATCATCCAGATACCAAATACCACACTGTGCGAGTGACGGTGGGAATTCTGCAGCTGTGACAGTTCGGTGCCTGCTGGTAAACAAGGCCTTCCATAATCAGTGCTGAGGCTCTGTGCCCTGGCAGTGGTGGAGCTCCCACACTGATCGACACCTCAACTGGCCTCAGGAAAATGGAGCTGCTTATACAGGAGTGAAATGAAATTAAGGGCTTTTTTTTTGGGGGGGTGGTTGTGTTGTGTTTTTTGTTTGTTTTTTTTTTTGTTATGGTTTAGTTTGTTTTTAAATACAGATCTGACCACAAGTTATTACCTTGCTCTCAAGTCAGGGCTTTCTTCCACAAGTGTAGTTTCTTCTAGAAATGGCCAAAAGAGTCTGGATGGGAACTCCAGCTTTCTGGTGTGACTTTTTGTGGTAGATGAGCAAGGATTTGACTCTGACTTATTAAAGGTATCTTCTTGTATGTCTGCATTGTGGTGCTGCTTTCAGAAGACTACATACATCCATTAATGGGCACTTGTCTTAAATACTCCTCCTCCTTGCAAGACCATTTGAGGGAAGGTCCTAAGAGAAGATAATCGTAAAGGAGAAGCATTGCATCTCACCCAGTAGGTGAGAACAACTGAGGGCAAGCCAGCACCAGGAAAAGGAAACTCTCACAGTCTAGTTGGTATGAAACACTCACGGCAGGGAGGCTCCTAGGTCTGCCTTCCTGGGGGGCATTAGGAGCATTGCATCTCTGGCCCAAAATCTCCCACAGAAGGGCCAGCCCTTGTGGCTTCTAGGGACACACTCTGCTCTTTCTGAAGTTCCAGCTGAAGGAGGTGCTGGCATGTCCCATCTGGCTGGTAAGAGTATCCACCAAGGGCATTATCTCCTTGGTTGTAAAATCCTCTCATTCTGGGGAAACTCAAATCCACATAAATCCCAGGCTGGTTGAAGGGGCCTCTGCTTGGAAGCAGATCATTGCCCTCATCCTTCAAGGGCCAGGAACATGTGCAGTGTGTTACAGACCTGCAACAGCACTTCACTTGCTTGCCTGACAAGGGAGTGTGTTTGTGTAGGAATTTGGGACTTCTAGTTGACAGACTCTGTACTTCATTTATCAGCAATGCAAGTACAGTAATTTATGGGCTGTGTAAAGCACATACCTGTGGCACTTCTTGCTCTTCAAATTAGGTTTTAAAATAAAGCCACAAATTGAGCTGCCTGTTGTTGGGAGCCAGCCCTGCTGGCATCTTAGCAGCCCTCGGGAGGGATATTTGCCCTCTGCTTTGCAGGACTGACCAGGTTTGTAGCTCCACACAACTGCTGGAAATGGTAATATTTGCAGTAATACAGACTGTAGGCTTCATCTCTGCCTAGGGGAGAGAGCAGCTTAAAGCTAAAGGTAACTCCCTTCCCTACAGATTTGCTGTGGAATTTGGGCATTTCAGTTTGGAGAAAGAGCACATGCTATGAAGGCAAAGCAGATCTCTGACCCTGTGAGATCAGGACTGCAGGGTGGGGGAAGAGGTCTGGAATGGGAAGCATCACCACTAACTTGAAGCTCCAAGTAGTTGAGACAGGTCACCTACTTGGGAACAGGAACCTGGGACAGGGAAATGAGACAGCAGCAGAGACATTACTTTTTTTTCCAAAGACTTTTATTAATAAACACATGGAACATTTAGGAGTTACTATGTACCCTACTTTACATGGAAGTACTGCTTTATTTGCCCTGACTCATCTTTCTCAATTATCTAAATGTCAGCCCAACCCCAACTGCTGTCTCTGTTCCCTCCTCTCCCCCTGTGGCATTTTCTGGCATAGTGGCATGTTTACAGTCCATATATGCAATTCCAATGTCATACCAATGAGCATCACATGAGTTACTGTACTAACACAGCTCTGCTGGAGCCCAGGTGCTTGGCCAGAGTTCCCCTGGGCCCAGGAGCAGGAAGCTCCTGAACACTGCATGATTTCAAACCAACTTTTCCCAATAAATAAATATTATCTTGTGACAGGTTCCAGTGTAGCTTTAGGTTTCTGAAGATAAATAAAATCTTTCAACATTAAGACTGGCCCTTCACTGAAACAAGATTGACAAGACTACAGATTTAAACCATTTAGAAAAGTAATACTTGAAGCAGAGGAAGAAATACTCCCTGGTTAGCTGTGCCCTCCAGAGGCAAGCACAGAAGAGACGAAGGTTACAGTGCACATACCTACAGGCTGTATGTGTGTAGCAGACACATGCACATTGTCCTGGAAAAGTGAGGGTATTACTCCAGGTCATAGTCAGCCTCTATTTCCTCACCTGCTCTTACTGGAGGGGCCCTTCCTCACACTGCACCACCATCCATTCACTTTCAATGAAGTCATCATTTCAGGTCACATGAAAATGAGAAGACCACACCAGTATGAACTTAAGATTTGTTCGTGTCTAATCTGCATTAAGCTTCCTTCGTATTGCAACAGAAAAAGATTTAAGAGAATCTCACTGGGCAGTTGAACCTCATTCCCTTTGGTACTTGCAAAAGCTTAACATGAAATAAATAAAATTAGCATGCTGTCAGGGCAAGTTGTTTTACAAACACAAGTGATTTAAGTTCTAAGGCCTCCACATTCATTAGAGGATTAAATCCTTAAACAGGGGGCTTAGTGAAAGGATAAAGCTCATTTGCCTTCTGGTTTTCAAACCCTGACATGGCAAGAAGACCACGGTAAGAACACTAGCTTCTTTCTTCCTCCCTCAAAGGCTCCACATTAATGAGGGCTTCCTGAAGGACAAGTGTAATTCCAAACAAGTGCCCGAAATAATGTTTAGTCAACAGTGTTTCCTCATCTTCCAATAGCTTCCAGCTTCAGAAGTCTTCTCTAAAATAAAATAGTGGCGAGTTCAGTCACTGCAATACCAGGTGGCATTCCAACACATTACAGCAGCCTGTCAGGGTCTTGATTAAAACTAAAGTCACACACCAGGGACAGGTGATCCGAGGGGTAATTGAATGAGGGCAGCCTGTTGGGCCCAATTTGCTCTTCAGTCAGCAAGCCCAGGGCTGAGTTCACATTCAAGGCGTGCTGGGAATACCAGATATAATCCAGCGTGTGCCGGCACTCTCCCGAGGGCCGGATCTTCCAGGTGGTGTAGGGGGGCTCCGACTGCCCGTCGGGGCTCAGCAGCTTGTACGCGCTGTTCAGATTGAGGCTGGAGTTGGAGAATTCCCTGTAGACCTCCTCGGTCGGCTCCGCGTTGAAGTCCCCGCAGACGATCAGGGGGATCTTTGCCCCTTGGGTGATGTTCTTCAGGTTCTGGAGGAGGTCACAGCCCTGTGCGGACCGAAACCTCTCCCAGCCGGTGCGGGCCTTGAGGTGGGTGACGGCGATGCAGAACAGCCGCCCGGTCTCGTGGCACTTCAGCGTCTGCGCTATGGCCACCTGGTTGGTCTTCAGCTTCATGGCCGTCAGGCGGATGTTGGCGCTGTTGACGAGCTCGAAGCGGTCCTTGAGGAAGAACAAGGCGCAGCCGTCCGGCCCGTTGTTCCGCTCCACATCCAGGCACGGGGACCACGGCTTGGGGAAGAAGGTGCACTGGTAGCCCAGTCGGCTGAGGAGTGGCTCGAATGTGTCAAAGTAGTGGTCGACTTCCTGCAGGCACAAGATGTCGGGCTTATACGCCAGGATTTCCTCCAGGATGAGGCACTTCCTCTCCTCCCATTTCAGAGCTTCCATGGGGCACTGGATGAAGTTGTCTTTGCCTTCCCCGAGAGCTGAAATGAGCAGGGAGGGGGGAGAAAAAAAGGAAGTTACTGATGGCTCCAGCAGGCTGTCCTCCAGGTTTGGCAGAGGCCAGAGGTGCATCAGTTTACATGCAGGTCATGGGTTTTTTAGCAGTAGCTGATGACTTTAAGGGTGCCAGGTTTGCCAATGGGTGCGAGAACCCCTTCTCAAACCACTGGAGTCACTCAAAAAAAATTAAGTTCCCTTTACAGATACAAGACTTCCTCTCCCTTTTCCCCCTACACTGTGGCAAGTACTTTCACATGTGGCTGCTGCAGCTTAAGCCTAAAAATAAAATGCAATGGGATAGGAGTGACTTAACTGCAGACTGTTAAGGCAGTCCCTACGGGGGGTGGGGGGGAGGAAGGGAAGGGGAGGAGACCTGCCACCCCAAAAGATTTCAAGATGAGGCTGTTGCACAAGTCAGTTTACAGCCTTGATTTGGAAATACCAGAAATTATTACAAACAAAAGTTAAAATTATTCTGAAGAACTAAGAATTCCCATAGCAGATCTGAATTCCTGGATAATTAACCAATAAACTAATCAGAAAACTTTAGACAAGGTTTACAAAGAATAAAATTTAGGGAAGGATGAGTCTTTTCTGGGGGTTAACAACAACCTAAAACTGATGGGTCTTTTTGAATACACTGTGGTCAATTAGGACAGGAATTCAGGGCTACTTTCGGCACCACAGTTTTAAGGAGAGACCCTTTTTCCTTTCCTACAAGACAGAAGGGAAGCCACTATTTCAAGTGCTCAAAATACTCCCTCTGGCCCTCAGCCAGTACCTCACGTAGTTCACCTCTCCCTTTGCTCTGCCAGGGAGCTGCACTTGGTCTCAAGGTCATACCTTGGGCAAGGATGTTCCACTGCATGACCCGGATGGGACGGTGGTTGCTGGCAGTGTTCTTCTTCAGGTTCACAAAGTTCCTCCGGAACCGGGGCGGCCGTTTCTGTAGGACCATCTGACATTCCTCCAGCAAATCCTTGGGGTCTATAGGATCCAGCCGTGCTGGGTCTAGCTGCTCCAGGCAGTCCTGGTGCTGGGACACGGCACCGCTGCTCAGCGTCTTGGCAAGCACGCTGTAGAGCCGGCTGGTGCTGTTTCCCATGGAACACACTGGAAAGGAAAAACTGTTATTAAGAGAGGTCTACCCTGACTCTTTTCATCACTTGGGTGCCTTGTTACAGTGCCAGCAATTTGGGGTTCATACAGGAGCCTGTTCCTGAAGCTGAGACAAAATAAGAAGGATGCAGAGGCAAGGTTAGTCCTGTCCAGTCTCATCACGTTCTGCCTGCCATCAGGGGCTGCTCACCTCTGCAGCACACAAACAGCCTGGTTTAAACATCAGGCTTGTGTCTTTTGAGGGAAGAAAGGAGTCTTTCATCCATAACATGGATGTAGGGCTAAGATTAACTCTGCACGCATTGTAGAAAACAGAATTGAGCATACTTTTCCCCCACTCAGAGAGGAGAGAGCCCAGCAGGTAGACAAATACTGCCCGCTCCTTATTTTGTGCGCAGCATTTGTCTGTGATGGAGGTGACACGCTGTTTGACCTGGTACCATGTCCTGATTTGCGATGCCTCTAGGCTGCAGGCTCCTGCCTGCAGAGCAGCAAGCAGGGTGACTCATTCCCTCGGGTTAATATTTAATAGGGATCTCTGATCACAGCTTCATCTATCCCAAAAGTAGCAATGTTTTCTGGAGTGTGAAGCAGCCAGATGCTTTTGCTGGCTTAGGCCTCAGGATGTGGAATGGAGAGGGAAGTCTCTCCAGCCTCTTCACACAAGCAGCTGTCCCCAACTCTCCCTCTAAGGCAGTCATAGGTCACAATTGCCACGGGGAGGGTGCACGTGTGTCTCCACTCTGTTCTGCCCTTTGGCTTACACAAGCTGCAGCCCTCTTCCCTTAAAGGGTCAGCCACCAGAGCCACCCATTCCTTTCAGCCAGCAGCCCTCATGCCTGTTTTGCTGTGAAATACCTCCTTCTCTCACTTCCCAAGAGCACAAGCAGTACCACTGCACAGCCATAAACACCTCGAGGCTTTGCTTAGTGCAAACACACATGGGACAGCAACAAGAGCTGGGCTTTGGGCGAGCTGTGGGGGAGTCTGCACAGTTTGTGATGTTCCTACGCTGTGCACGCCCTAAGAGCTCTCCAACCCTTTCTCAGAAAATGCCACAACACGTGGGGAGCTCTTGAGAAGTGGCTGTGTTTGCACTTTTCCATGCACAGCACTCTGCCCCAGTGTGCCTGGACACTTTGCTTCCCTTCAAACACGGGTAGGAAGGGCAGTACTTGCACCACAACAACTTGCACAAGAGGCAGCTCTGACCGAGTTTTGTTGTTGTCTCAACCTATTTACTCTAGTTGCATTTTGCAAAGAGAATCTTGGGCAAAAGAACTTCAGTGTTGCATTGCTGTTGGCCCACAGTGGTTTTTAAGTAAGTTTAGTTGTATGGCTGAGTTACTTAAAAAAGGAAGAGGAAGAGAATTGTCATCTTGTGCTCGTATCTTGCAGCAGATTTGGAGGGCTACTCCACACATACATTCAGACTGAGCTACAGCATTACCAGCTGTAAGAGCTGGTGACAGATATACAGTAATGACAGGCTAGATGGGCAGGCAGGAAGATGGAATCCATAACAGTTTAATAAACATAGTCAGAAGGAGTAAAAGCAACACTCTGCAGTAGAAACCTCCTGTCCTTGTATTTAGCAAAATGAATACTTTTAAAGACACCAGAAACCACTTAATGTGTGTTTTGTAAGCCCATGGAACAGTGCTTCTTAACATTTCTAAGGAAGTTGTAAAATGGGACTTTAGACTGGATGGAGGACATTTCTCCCCATCTCCATCCTTTTAGTTAAAGTACCAGGAGAGTTTCTCAGAGTGAGATGTGAGCTTGAATTCATTCATAAACATGAATGTCTTTATAGGGAAATTGTGTGTAAAGTGTTTCAGTTTCTGCAGTCTTTCTCAGCTTAGAATTCTTGTCAGAAAGGAAAGTACTGCTGAAAGTAGAAGAAAGGCCATTTGATAGTGAGGGAAACATGAAATCCCTAAGCACAGGACATGGCTGCGAGGACATGGGGAGCAGGAACCAAAGCATGCTCTGTGCTGGTTACAGAAGGGTCCAGCTCACACACTACCAGGGCTGCCAGGCAGCCATGCAGAAACCCAAGGAAATCAACAGAGCTTTTAATAGAAGCTCCACAGGGAGCCACTCACCTATTTTTAGGGTAGGTACAACCCATAGCTAAGTGCTGCAACTGGAGATAAGCACACGGTGTTTTCTTCTACATCGAGGATGCCGTCAGCATCTGGGTAAAGCCACGAGCCCTACACCCCACACCCCCTTCCGTACAGCCCCTGCCATGCCAGGGATGAACATGACCAACACAGGGCTTTTCCAAAGGAATAAGCAAGAGCTCAGGCTGTTTGTGGCTTGACCTGAATCAGAGGGATGATGTTGAGAAAGATAAGGTAGGTGCGATGCAGCTGGAGCCAAAGGTCTACTGGCAAAGCCCTGAGCAGCTTACATCTGTTACAGCAGGATGCAGGCCAAGTTCAGCCACCCAACCTGCCAAGCCGCAAACAAAGCCAGAGTACTGTCTAAATCTCATCATCCCCAGGATCATGGGGTATCCAGCTCTTTATGGGGCATAAGGCACAGCCTAACCTGCACAGGATGCGCTATGGCCCAGCTGCACAGATCTGACAGCTTTTAAAGTCAGTCATGTCTCAGGCAGGAAAAAGAGCTTTGGTCTTCTTTTGAGGGCCCAGGGAAGATTGGGTGAAAGAAGGTCTGGACTGTAAATCAAACACTTTCAGTCCTGGTAGAGGTGGCTTGAGAGTTCTTAGCTGAAGCAGGGAGGGGCAATGTGCTCCTGCGGGAAGACTTCAGCTTAAGATGACTGCTGATCTGCATAACTTCTTTGTCCCCAGCGTGCTGAAACCATCACAGCACGGTCTGAGCCGTTCTGCAGAACAAGGGCCAGACCAGCAACCTGAACATGGAAACTCCAAACACAAAAAATCCATTCTGTTATTTCTGCAACACGGAACATGTCCACAGCAGCCAGGCAAGTACAGGGTCACTGTTCCAAAACCTTACAGTCCAAGTTAAGTGACCTGTAACTTGCTGGGATAATCTGTGCTGTGCCATTGTGGTGCTGGCGTGTGCAGAGGAACAAGCGGACTCCTGAGCTCAAACTACAGCAGTGGGAAGCGATCATGGAAATGATTCTCTTGGTGGAATGTAATAGGGAACACCAGCTCAGCAATTACTCTTAAAGGTGCTTAAAATAAAAAAAAAAAATACCTTCGTCTCAGCAAAGGTGGTACCTCAGCACAGTAAGGGCAAAGGAAGAATTCAAACTGCTCATTAAACCTAAGAACAGGGTGTAAACATCATCCAGCACAGAAGAGATGAAATTCCAGGATCTCAGGCAATGAGCCACCAGAGACTTTATTTTAAGGACTTTGCTTCAAAGATGAGGGCTGCAGAGGGGTATTGGAGCCAGGGCCCTGAGCTGCTGAGTAAGGTGAACAGCATTCTCACTTCCCTTCATGTCCTACCTCCCAGCACTACCTTTGACCAAAAGCCCCAACTCATTTACCATCTGGATTTCACTGCCATGTGAATGGTTCCACCACACTTGCAGCCTGGCCTGTAGCTGCATCAGCCTCCATAGCCAAGGAGGCTGGCAGCAGCCAGAGGTGCCCTCCCTGCAACTCTAATTCTAGGAAAAACTTGACAGGTGCCATCCCCATGTGACAAATCCTGTGCTACTGAGTATCATACTACCCCTACAGTGGGACAGCACTGAGAGCTCATCACAGCAAGGGAGGTGCTACCTGTTTGTCAACAGGCAACACCAAAAGAAAAAGGAGCCTCAAATCCTGCCTCCAGTAATATACAGAATCAGTACTTGGCACAAGCTCTGAAAACCTTTTTCCTCATGAGTGCTTTAATCACGAGCTCGATCCTGCCAGCTCTCAGGCACATATGCCTCTTCCCAGCAGCGCCGTGAAGCTTCAATCCTGCCATATGGTATCCTGGCCTGGTTTCAGCAGGAGGAATAGGAGCAACCCACCCCACCCTGGCTTTTACACCTCCCCTGTAACAGCAGCAACAGGGAACGAACACACTTCACCCCAACCCCAACTGAGGGCAGTAGGAAAAAGTGGATCTCCAGCACACCCAGGCATGTAGCGCAGCCTCCGATATTGCGACTACATTGGCCAGAAAAGCTGTAGCTGCCACATTCCCTGGAAGCGTTCAAGAGCAGGTTGAATGGGGCTTTAAGCAACCTGGTCTAGTGAGAGGCATCTGGAACTAGATGACCTTTAAGGTCCCTCCCAACAGACACGCTCGTCAGCACGCATGGCTTAGGGCTGAATCCGAACCGCAGGGCTGCAGCGGGTGCGTCACCGCCCCGCTCCCAGTCTGGCCACGGGTCAGCGAGCAGAGGGCAGGGAGTGGGGCGCACGCCAAGGTGTTTTTTTTCCTCACGGGCACCCAAGGACGTGTGGGCACTTTCCAAGTCTCATTTGGGGAACGAGGAACAGGGCGCAATTATTTAACGGTGCAGGCAAGCAGGAACCTGATGGGCCGGCATCGCTGCTGCTGCTGCCTGCAGGAGAGTAACCCAGGCTCTTCCCACACACTGCCTCCAGTAAAAAAAAAAAACAAAAAACAACCCATTGTGAGTCAAGCTCATCCTACACAGAGTGCAACGCTAGGAGAGAACACCTCAGCTACTCCACAGCGGTGTAGAGAGGACACTGCCCCTCTGGGTCACCAGGCAGGTTACCCCACCGATACCTGGGTTTACCCAAGTGGGTGACACCGAGACACAACCCCTGTGCAGCAACCGGCGCGACGCCCGGTACCGCCTGTCGCGACTCTGCGGGATATCACCCGCTGACACCGAGCGAGCGCCACGGCCTCGGCCTTCGAGGCACCAGGGCCGGGAGTGCCGCGGACAGCAGAGCCCAGGCGCCCCTGTGCCGGCCGTGTGAACCCACGCGGTTCCCGCACCCGCTCCGCGGGGGGCAGTCCCGCACCTCCCCTGCCCGGTACCCACCTGTGCGGGGCGGCGCCCCCGGGGCGGGCGGGCCGCCCGCTGCTGCCCGCGGGGCGGCGGCGCCGACGGGCTGGGGACGCGGCGGGGCGCGGGGACGCGGCGGCAGCGACAGGCGGGAGGCCGAGGCGGCGGGGGCGCAGCAGAGGGCGGGCAGCGCCGAGCAGAGGCAGCGTGCGGGGCTCTGGAACATGCTCCCGGCGGGATGGGACGGGGCGGGACCGGCTGGGATCGGAGGGCACCGGCAGAGCCTCGGCTCCCGCGCCCGCCCGGCGCCCGCGCTTATACAGGCGGCGGCGCGCGGCGCGGCCGGCACATCCGGCACATACCAACCACGCCAGGCGGGGAGGGGGTGGTGGTGGTGGGGGGGTGAAGACGCACTGCACAAACGCGCACCACCGGCCTGCACCGAGCCCGCCCGCGCACACCGGCGGAGCGGCCGCTTTCCGCGGGCAATCCCGCACCTCTCGCTGACCCGGCGGCCGCTGCGCACCACACCACTCGCGCCCCCCCCTCCACGGCCGCGGAGTGGTGTGGCCCGGCGGAGGTTCGCACGTCAGCGCAGGGCTCGCGCCCCCTCAGGGACGTCGGGGCGGCTCCGCCCGCCCCCCCGTCAGCCGGGAGCGGGAGCGGCACTTCGGGGTTCGCTCCCGCTGCGTCTCCCTCTCATTTCCCAGAGATTTGGGCCTGGTGCCTTGTCTACAACTCCCGCAGGAGGGGGGAGAGGAGCGGCAGGCGCTGATCTCGTCTCTGTGCGGATCAGTGACAGGACCCGAGGGAATAGCGTGAAACGGTGTCAGGGCAGGTTTAGGTTGGATGTCGGGAAAGGGTTCTTCACCCAGGGGGTGGTCGGGCACTGGAACAGGCTTCCCAGGACAGTGGTTGCAGAACCAAACCTGTCTGAGTTCAGGTGTTTGAAAGATGCTCTCGGGCACACGGTGTGAATCCTGGGGATGGTTCTGTGCAGGGCCAGGAGCTGGACTCGATGATCCCTGTGGGTCCCTTCCAGCTCGGCATATTCTGTGATTTCTTGTGCCATTTTGTTGCTTTGAACCCTCTTGGCTCTTGACTGGTCTCACCCAGATTTCATCCCTCAAGGCTTATGCTAATTCTGTCATTTCTCATATGTAATTTTATCCATCTGTCTTTGTTCCTAATTTCTTTTTTTTTTTTTCCCGATTATCAAAGCATAGATGGTGATAGTCTCGCAAGCCCTCTACTGACAGACTTCTCTCTCTGCTGCTTTTCTGTTAAGAAAGAGAGTAAGCTGGGAAATGTGTAGAGCAGCTGCAGTTTCAAAGGTGGATCTTAGATCTTGGTGCTTGAACTTCCACCTGGCTCTGGGTAGGCTCATCTAGCCCTCCCTAAGCAAAATGCTCTAATGATTGAGTGATTTTAAGTGAAGGAAAAAACCCAAGAAAGATAATTAAACAATGGCTAGGTACTTAGTACCCTGCTAACTTCTTCAGCCGTACTGCCTGCCCTCACCAGGGAACGCTGGGAGCACGGGAGAGGCTGCTGGAGAGCCTTGAAGGGAAAGGCTGGAGCTTGGATTTCTCTGCTTTCAGACGCACGGACCACTCCTTGAAAATCTCTGTGCGCTGATTCATATCCTCTCTGCTTTAAATATGCATGAAAGGGACAGAGGCTTGATTGCCATGCAAGACTGGGAGCCCCGGTTACTTGCACCTGACTGGGCTTGTCTGTTCTCAAGTCTGGACACACTTATCAGAAGGGCAAACTTGTGATTAAGAGTTTATTTCCATGCTTCTTGTGTGAGATCATCTGTAACCAGCTTTTTTCCTCCCTTTCTAGAAGGAAAGAGTGATTGGTGACTCATGAGCTAGTCTAATGGCCCTGCCATTTCTGGTGGGATTTGGCAAAGGAAATATCTGCCAGCAGTGGCCTAAGGGATAGGTAGCCTGGGTTTAGTTGCATTCTCTGCCACACTGTCACTGGCAGATTAGAGGCTTGGTGACAGGGAAGCTGATGGCTTTGTGGGCCCATCTCTGAGCTCCAAGTCCTCGTCTCCTGTCGCATTTCCTGGCATTCAGGTGTCTCTTATCCTGATGGCTCTTCATTGCTCTCCTGCCTCATGGGAAAACCCTTGGGTTTTGCCCAGGGCTGGCTGTTTGTCTTCCTCGCCTCCAGTTCCAGCATATTTCCTGGAGCTGCTTGTCGCCCGGAGAGCTCAGCAGTCCCTAAGTAGCTAACGACTGGCGGTACAATATGTTTGTTATTCATTTTATTTCTCTGATGACTCAAGTAGCTGGGTTGAGGCCAAACCACCTCCTCGTGTGATCTCCAAGGAGGAAAGACAGAAGGTTTCCTTCTTCCTGCTGTACTGAATGTGCTTTTCCCTGCTCTTTTGAGTGCCGGCTTTCCCTAGCTGTGTGTGACCAAGCCAGTGTGACAGTAACAAAGGAGGATGTGAGAGAAACAAAAGTTACTGATGATGCACAGGGCTGTTTTTTCGGGGCATACCGCTCTGTTCCTAGGTTTGGGAAAGAGGAGCGATTTAGCTCCAAAATGTGAATCACTGTTTGCTTGGCACCCCTTGGGAATGGCCCTAATAGCCTTCCCGGAAAATAAAATCCTTTTGAAAATACACAAAAGATGCAATTAATCTTTTAAATAAATAAATAAATGTATATGTGACTTGGAGAAAAAAATTTCTTTGGAAAATGATCTCAGCTGTCCCATGTGCATCTGACTGATGTTTCCATTAGCTGGGAACAGTGAGCAAATGGAGAGAAGGGGTCCAGGTCAAAGGGTGCATGAGGCTGTGAGAAATGCTTTTTTCTTAGCTTTTTGACCTGTTCTTACCCTGGAGATGCTGATGTTTCAAACATGCTGGACAGACTGTTAATCCTGTTCCAATGCTGTGGAAATCCCAGGTCCAGCAGGGTGTTACTAAAAAATACAGCTATGACTGAAGTTTTTCCAGCAACTAGTAAGAACAATGATTTCCACAAACTCCACTTCCTTGGGATTAGTAATGGTCTGAGGATAATAACCCTTCCACGTCCTTGGTCAGTCAGCTCCTCCCAACCGGTCATCCCTATGTCAGGGAAGTGTTTGTGCTGCCTTTGGTACAGCTGCTTTAACTGCCAACGTTTTCAGCTTGGAAAAGCATGCTCTGGACAGGAAATTTCCATCTCAGGGGAGCTGGACAGTAGTCACTGAAGTGTCAAAGTGGATTAACAGGCAAAAACTTGCGGCAGTTTGACTCTGCACAGCACAGATGGCTGTGAGTGTGGCGGTTTCAAACTTCGTGGTGCACACTCATCCCAACCCCTTCTTACTTCTCCCATGAGCAAATGCCATCACCTGGGCTGCTGGCTGCATTCCTGTGGGATGCCTTGCACCACCAGGATGCCCTTTTTCCCTGTCACAGCACCAGGAGCCCTTCACCTCCCCACTATCACCCTGCTGTGGGTCTTCCTCCCTCCCTTAGCAGCAGGACTGGGAATGCTTACCTGGCCTCCCCTCCCTGCCTCACCTTGGTTTTGGGCAGCTGGGAAGAAGCTGGGAGACAGAATTCGGTGCCAGATGTGGGGATCTCAGTAGTTTTGAGGGAGAAATGCCCCAAAACAGGTTCACCCGAGGTGACAATAGGGCAGAGATCTGGATGTTTTAAAGCAGGCTGTCTTGCCAAAGTTGACTGAGTTTCCAAAGCACTCAGCTCTGATTTTTCAAGCATTTCAGTCGCTAAAGCATCTCAGAAAGGGAGTCTTTGCCACTTGAACCCAATATCCGTCTTGCTGAGAAATGAGTAGCATTAAATCTGGGCAGCAGATGGCAAAAGTGTTCCACATGGCTGAGGAAGAGAGAGGGAACAATTGTGACACTTTTGACATCCTATGAAAGAAACATGCATGTATATTCATCTCAGATATGAGTGCACACTACAATGCAGATGATTAAATAGAGTACTTCATTTTTGGAAGTAGGTGTCTGTCTAGGAGGTGTCTGCCCGTGGAATCAAAATTTCCAAGACTTCTGCCTCTCTTTGGAGCCACTTCAGCCACTTGTGCTACAGTGCTACCCGAGGAAGGGGAGGATCATTCATTTCCATTTAGCATATTTAGCAAATATTTCCATTTTAACCCTTAGTCTGCCTTCTGAGCAACAGAAACGGGCACATTATCCATTCAGGATGTCATTGTGACCTGGCTGTAGCCTCTGAGCAGTTATCAGATGGTGACATGATTTTCAGGGGTCTTTAGAAAGGTCAGGCTCTGTAAGGCCTGGCAGGGCTGCCGTTTCCTGGCCTGCTGGAAAGAACTGGAACACTTAGTCATGCAGGAGCGGTTTGCCTGCCTCCACTGAGAGACTGAGGCAAACAGGAATATTTGGTATATAGCCCTTGGGGTCATCCAGCGTCCTGCCTCCAAGCACGCTTAGCAAAGCTCAGCTGCTTTTCTAGTGAAAAGGATGCAGTGGTTGCACCCTGCCTGATCTAAGCAGTCATGTATCAGAGTCCCAGAGTTTTCCTGTCTTACTCACTGTAGTTTGGAAGCTGCTCTGCAAATCCCCTGTGTGGATATTTTATGTCCTAAGCTACATTGCTACTCTTCTGGCCTCTTCTTGAAAAGCAAAGTGATGGGTACTGTTGGAGAACTCTCTCTGATGTAGAGATGCTGAGGATCCTTGGCTGGGCACTGCACTCCTCAGGTGAAAGGATGTTAATGTTCATCTTTGGAAATAAATGCAACTTCTATTTTCCAAGCTCCATTACCCTGGTTTCATGGTACCTTGGTGCCTCAGTAAAGAAACCTACCAGTCATCAGTTTCCAGCCAGTACATTTGTAGTTCCAGAGGGACTGGAACGGTGGAGCTGGCAGCCAAACCTAGGACTGGACTTTCCCCCGGGGGTGTGCTCGGTTGCAGTGCAGTGGTTGGGCTGCCTGGAGGCAGGGCTGCAGGCAGCTCCCACTTTTTGGTTAGCATCCAGGCCTGGCCAGCACCCAGCTCTGCTCTGCGTCACTGGCCCTGCCGGTTGTGCAAGTGCCCCTGTGCCGGACGTGCCCCCAGTGGCTTTCATAACCCAGCTGGAGGGGATCTGGAGCAGGGGGGAGCTTTTCCCTCGACCACACCAGGCACCCTGGTTTTCCCTAGCTCAGAGGCTTTGCTCAGCTCTGACCGGCCCCAACAGGAGTGAGAAATCCTGACATTCAGGTTGAGAAGCACTTGGTGCTGCTGGACATACCAAACTGGGAGCTCCCTTTTGGGCATCGAGTGGGGCTTTGGGCTTCTCGCTCTTTCTGCAGCCACCCTGACCTCAGGGCACCTTGGTGTGTGAGCCTGAACAGCCCCTGACCCTTCTGCCCCGGGTCCAGGCAGGTGCCTTGGCAAAACCCGAGGTTTTGCTAACCCCCAGCCAAGAAGGCCAGGGCTGGGAGCTGGCTGTTTCCCAGGTGTCTGGCTGGGCTCTCTCCTCTCCCCAGCTGTGTGCCAGGGGGGCTGCTTTGCCAAGGCAGTGCAAACAAGTCACGGCAAAGGCCACCTGGACTGTTCTAGAATATACTTTTCACCCTGCAAAGATGTTCTACTTATTGAACAGCAAATTCCTCTGTGATTTCCCTGCTTGTAATGCATCAAACATAGATTTAATTAGGAATAGATTTTTGTTCTTTCAGGGCAGCTTTAGGAGATGTGGAAAGGTACTCTTCCTTCTGTCCGGACTGGAAAAGGAAAAGTGAATTTCCACCCCCTCCTCCAGCCTCCCAACTGACTTTAAGCCAAAATGCATGAAGGGAACCGGAGGTTTCTACCCCAGCAGAACCTCTGGTTGTAGCTAAGCTGGGGGGAGAAGATGTGGAATTTTTAGTTGATACAGGTGCTGCATATTCCGTGTTAAACACCCTGGAAGGGAAACTGAGTCAAGATACTGTAACTGTGGTTGGTGCCACAGGGGTAAGTGAAATCAGGCCTTTCTTCAAACCCTTGAAATTTAAATTAGGGAAACACTGGGTAACTCATCAATTCCTCTATATGCCAAATTCTCCTATACCTTTATTGGGTAGAGATTTATTAGAAAAACTGGAAGCTGAAATTAAATTCTGTAAGGGGGGGGGAATAAAAGTTATCATCCCTGACACTAAATATATCGAGGCAGCCACCTTCTTCATACAGGAGAACCACGGAGAGATCCCCGCAGAGGTTGAGAGTGCTGTGATCCCTTTAGTGTGGGCTAGCGAATATCCTGGGAGGTCCAAGCGAGCAGAACCCGTAAGCATCACGCTCAAGCCAGGAGCAACACCGGTAAGGCAAAAACAATACCCCTTGAAGCTAGAAAGTCGTCAAGGTTTAGCACCCATAATTGAAAAGTTCCTTAAATTTGGCCTATTGGTAGAATGTGAATCTAAATATAACACCCCCATCCTTCCAGTGAAGAAAGCTGATGGTAAAAGCTATCGATTGGTCCAAGATCTGAGGGCAATCAATAAAATAACAGAGGATATATATCCGGTAGTAGCGAACCCCTATACCTTGTTAACCACATTAACAGAGGAATTAGGGTGGTTTACAGTGCTTGATCTAAAAGATGCCTTTTTCTGCATTCCTGTGCACAAGGACAGCCAAGAGCTTTTTGCTTTTGAATGGGAAAATCCTGAGACAGGGAGAAGAACTCAACTTACATGGACTGTCTTACCGCAAGGCTATAAGAACAGCCCGACGATATTTGGAAACCAGCTGGCAAAAGAACTAGAAGACTGGAGAAGGCAGCAGCCAGAAGGACTTGTCCTACAGTATGTAGACGACATACTAATTGCTGCTAAAAGTCGGGAACAATGCATCGAGCTCACTGTAAGTCTTTTAAACTTTTTGGGACTAAGTGGATATAGAGTCTCAAAAGAGAAAGCACAAATTGCAAAGGAAATAGTCATTTACCTGGGGCTTGAAATCTATCGTGGACACCGACGGCTCAGCACAGATCGGAAAGAAGCCATCTGCCGTCTCCCAGAGCCCCACACTGTACGAGAAATGCAGGCTTTTCTAGGAATGGTGGGGTGGTGTCGCTTGTGGATAGCTGACTATGGGTTATTAGTTAAACCCCTATATGAAGCACTGAAAACAGCCAAGAAAGGAGTTATAACATGGACAGATGAGATCAGAGCTGCATTTAAACAACTGAAACAGTCCTTAATGTCAGCTCCAGCACTAGGACTACCAGACCTAACCAAACCCTTTGAACTGTTTACATATGAGCAACTAAATGTTGCCCTGGGGGTACTGTCACAGACCCTGGGAGACCAGCGAAGGGCTGTGGCCTATTTCTCCAAACAACTAGACAATGTCAGCCAAGGATGGCCAGGGTGTTTGAGGGCTGTGGCAGCAACTGTTATCTTGATCCAAGAGGCCCGGAAACTCACCCTGGGACAGCGCATTGTCGTGTATGTACCCCATGCAGTCCAAGCTGTACTTGAGCAAAAAGGGGGCCACTGGCTGTCCCCTAGTAGAATGCTTAAGTATCAAGCTGTGTTGTTAGAACAAGATGATATTACCCTGAAAACAACATCTGTTGTAAATCCTGCTATGTTTCTGTCCACAACATTAACTGACAGTATGCCTGAGCATGACTGTTTACAGACCATCGAGGAAACTTATTCCAGCAGACCGGACCTGAAGGATGAGCCTCTGGAAAACCCAGACTGGGAACTGTACACGGACGGAAGCAGTTTCATGCGAGATGGAAAGCGGATGACAGGGTATGCAGTGACAACCAGGGACGAGGTAATCGAGGCAAAGGCCTTGCCTGCTGATGTATCATCCCAGAAAGCAGAACTCATTGCATTGACAAGAGCTCTAGAGCTGAGCGAAGGTAAGAAAGTGAATATCTGGACAGATTCTAAGTATGCATTCAGTGTGGTACATGCCCATGGAGCCATCTGGAAAGAGAGAGGGCTACTAACTGCACAAGGCAGTGGAATTAAACATGCTGATCAAATCCATGCACTCCTTCAAAGTATCTGGAAGCCAGAAAAGGTATCTATTATGCATTGCAGAGCTCATCAGAGAGGGAAAACAATTCCTGAATTGGGAAATCATTTTGCTGACCAGGCTGCAAAAAGGGCTGCAGAAAAAGGCATTCTAGCAGTAGTTCCACAGAAAGAAATCGATTTGACAGGGTACACCCCAAAATATGATGAAAAGGACCACCAATTAATTAAATCGCTTAAAGCTGAAATCAAAGAAAGTGGGTGGGCTGTTACACCAACAGGACAGGTTGTGGTCACACCCCCACTCCTAAGGGAAATAGCTCTGCGGGAACATGAGGCTACCCACTGGGGAATAGAAAACCTTCTAAAACACCTAAAGAAAGTAGTGATAGGGACAGGTATGACTGAAGTCGTACAATCCATAGTAACTAAATGTGAAATCTGCCAGCAAAACAACCCAGATACAACCAAGAGGGTGGTACTAGGAGTAACAAAGGCTGGAAACCTTCCTGGAGATTACTGGCAAATAGATTTTGCTGAGTTACCACCGAGAGAGGGATATAAATACATACTAGTGCTGGTTGACACTTTTAGTGGATGGCCTGAAGCTTACCCGTGTCGCACTAACACAGCAAGAGAAGTGGTAAAAGCTTTGCTTAATCACATAATTCCAAGATTTGGGGTTCCTCTGGGAATGTCATCAGATAGAGGGACACATTTCATTGCAGTGATAGTGAAAGAGGTGTGTCGCGTCCTAGGAATTGTTTGGGACCTACACACTCCCTATAGACCTCAGGCAAGTGGCAAAGTGGAACGCATGAATGGCACTCTTAAAATGCAAATTGGCAAAATTTGTCAGGAAACATCCATGTCATGGGTTCAGGCTTTGCCTCTGGCTCTGCTGAGGATTCGTATCCAGCCAAGGCGGAGGGATAACATAAGTCCTTATGAAATATTGTATGGAAGACCATACCAAGCTCCACACATTCCAGGGGACATTCACATGAGAGGGAAAGTTGATTTACAAAAGTATTTAATTGCTTTAGGCTCTACTTTACAGAAGCTCCAGAAATTTGTCGAGCTTTCAAGGCCCATTGGATTGGACACCCCTGCTCATCAATTCCAACCAGGAGACTGGGTCTACATCAAATGGTGGGACAGTGATCCGCTGCAAGCCAAGTGGAGAGGACCTTTCCAAGTCCTGCTGACTTCCCTCACTGCTGTCAAAGTTGCTGGCAAAGGACCGTGGTTTCATTACTCCAGAGTGAAGAAAGCTTCAGTTCCTGGAACTATCAGCAAATCAGAACCCAACTCAGATGAAGAGGATGTGCCATAAACTGTTTCTACTGTACATGTTATCTGTACAGTCGGTAACTATGAATCGAGTTTGGGATCCAAAACTGCATGTGGCCATAGTCCAAAATGTATCCAAAATTCTCCGCAAAGATGACTGCTGGATTTGCACCCAAATACCAGCAATCGATGGTAAAGATAGCATTTGGCCTCTTATTGGCATTTTACTAAACGAAACAAACTTTGGTAAGTCTATGTTAGAACTGCCAGGAACCTGGAAGCCAGTTACTGAGGCCTACTATCCGGTAACCCTGACTCACGTAATGTCTGACCAGGACAATTACACTGTCCCCTGTATGGTTGTTAATGCTACAGGAAAAATCATTCTCCCTCCTTACTGTGATAAAAATAAATCTACAGAAGAAATAGGCCCAGAAGTTGTAACAAGGTTGGCACAAGTCCCCTTGAGATTAATCCCCCCCCATGGTTCAGGGTGGTACTGGATTTGTGAAAAAGAGGCTTGGAAAGTTTTGCCCCTTGATAAAGATCGGGCCTGTGCTCTAGGGGCTGTAATTCCAAACATAACAATCTTTGACCAAATTGATGAAAAAGAGGAATGGGAAAAGAGTTATCTAAAAAGAATGAAGAGGACAAATAATCCCCTTATTGACCGTCCCACACTCTTTCACAGTATAGTCAGAGCCATGATCCCATCTCTAGGGGTGAGTGAATTGGAAAAGGCAATAGTTAACATCTCAGCTGTAATTGAAAACATTCAAGATCAGGCTTCAGATGCAATTTCAGCTTTACAAGAGGAGGTCCATAGTCTGTCTCGTGTAGTTCTACAAAACCGACTGGCTCTTAACATCTTGCTAGCCTCTCAAGGAGGCGTGTGTAAAGTCATCAACACCAGTTGCTGTTCTTACATAGACCAAAGTGGAAGAATTAATAACGATTTGGCTGCAATTCGGAATCAAACTAAAATTCTACATCAGGTGTCTCTGGACAATGTCTCACTGGGTTTGGGAGACACTCTCCACAAACTTACTTCATGGTTACCGAACTGGACCTGGATTAAACAACTGTTTCTATTGGTAATGTACATAGTTAGTGTTTGTGTAATAGCTTATTGCATGAACCAATGTTGTAGATGTTTCTCATCTTTTTGGAAAGTGATTAGAAGTAAATAGTAGAGATTGGACAAAATTTTTGAGTTTTGTCCAGTCTCTAAAGGGGGGACTGATACCTTGGAGTTTTGATGTTTTAATTTTTTATTTTTGTAGACCTTAGAAGTAGTTATGTAGTAAATGTAGATTTTAGAGTAGCAGCATATTATCCCTTTACCCTTAACACACCAGCTCAAACCCCTGTTACCCATTCCCATATCAATTCCCTAAATTCCATAGCCTGTTTAGTCTCTTTTTCAAGGTAGAATTATAGAAGAACACCCTAACCCTACGGAACAAGATATAGCCATAGACCCAACAACCTTCAGGTCTAGAATTCTGGAAGGCCTCCAAGGACATTACGTGCTCTGAGGAAGATGAAGATGAAGAAGAGGGGGTCCCAAAACGCCCCCAGACCCAATTCTCAAGAGGCGTGGTGGGGGCAGAACCTGGGTGGTGGCTGGACTGGATTGGGTGAAAATCATTATAAAAACTGTGGACATCTGTATTGCGGGAGCGCGCGCTGGGGGTATTCCAGAAAGCCTGGGGACTCATTAAAACTTTTGTATCCTTATCTTATCTCCTACCTAATTTGGCTTGGAGTCTTTTTTTTCCCCACAGCCATTTAGGCAACAGGGTGCATGCTGCTGTTTTCCTTGGAGAACATATGAACTTTCTGCATTCATTGTGTTCTAGTTTCTTTTTTTTTGGAAGAAGTTCTAGTTTCACCCCTCTGTCCCAGGGATATCAGGGAATTGATGCAAGCTCTCCCTAATAGACTTTCAGTAGCTTTAAATCCAGAAGACAACTGGCAGAGAAAGTCATGGTCAGAAGCTGATCCCTGCAGTGTGAAAGCATCACTCTGCCTGGCATGGCTGTCTTCAGGGGGCTCTCAGGGCTGTCTTCTGAATCTCTTCACTGCCATGTGTCAGTCTCCTCCCACTTCTCTTCAGCTTGTTTTGGTGCTTTACCACGCTGGGGTTCAGCTCAGACTTGGCTTTTGGAGCTGGTGCCACCTCCATCTCCTGCTCCTGGGTGTACGGCATGGAGAAGGCAGCCCATGACTTACGGGGCTGGCTGATGCCAGAGAGATGCTCCAAGGTGGCAGTGATCTGAAGCAATACAGGTTTTATTATCCCTTGACTGCTTGGTGAGTTTTACAGGACCCTTCTGAGCTCCTGCTGAGGGTGTGTAAGTGACATTTCATCCTTGGTTTCTCTGTGTGAAGTAGGGATGCACTAAGTGACTGAGAAGGTGAGGGCAGTGACAGAGTAATGTGATGTTAAGATAGTTCTGGGGTGATTGCAGTACTTCTGCCAGGGCAGGGGGCAGTTTTGAACTACTGGTGCTTTGCAAGGGAGCAGAGATGGCCATGTGAAAGACCCTTCACCTCAAGAAAGTTAGGACCTTGTTCAACACTAAATCCATTTCCCCTCCACTGAGCTGGATCCAGAACAGCAGCAAATTACTCCTGAGATGGACAACAAGCCCCAGGCACTAAAGCTCCTGGTGGGATGACCATCCAGGTGACTTGAGTGCAGTCCAAGGACCTAGACCTGCAGAGATCAAACCAGTGAAATGAAAAACATGCTTTCAAGTGCAGCAAAGCCAGGGTGGTTGATCATTAGTGACTCCAGTGAGGCTTTAACATGTTTTTTGGAAGGGAAAGGCTGTTTGGCCACCCGTGGCCTAACTGAGCGTCCCTCCTCTAGTGCCATCCAAGATCTAGTTTAGCAAAGTAAAGTTCTGATGTTTTGCTCCAACTTAGGGTTTTTACAGCTCTGTCAAAGGGCGACATCCTGGTCTGCTCTCAGGATTTAGCAATCCCGGCAGCACTTATTCTTTGCACAGTGCAGACATATGCAGGAAGGAAAACCCACTCAACCACAACCAACTGAAAACTTGGCTGGCTGGTGGTGGTAGCCAAGTTCACATTTTCCCCAAACCTTCTGCAATTGCTATACTGACTTTTCTTGTAAAAGTAGGAAATTACCATTTGATTGGGCTCATGGAACAGCATGGTTGTACCACTCTCAGTTGTCATGGCCTCTCTCCTCTTGAAGTAAACCTTATGTGTGCTGTCATTTAAATGACTGAGTGTCAGCATGAAGACCAACTCAGTTTCTAGGTTCTGAGATGTTGTAGTTTAGGAATGGCATTCCCCAATTTAGTGTTTCCACTGAAACACCCCACACCAGCCACTACTCACTCACTTTCCCCCTCTGCCTCTGGTCAGAGCTGTTGTTATCTTAACCCTTCATGCCCCTCACTGGGTGCCCAAGAGGGCGGTTTTGTTTAAGAATGGGATTCCCCAATTCATCGTTCCCACTGAAACACCGCAGACCATGCACCTCTCATTCACTTCCTTCCCGCTCCCTCTGCGGTGGGATGGAGAGGAGAATTAGAAGCACAAAAAGGTAAAGATCACAGGTTTTGATGAGAACAGTTTACTAGAAAAAGCAATGAAATAAGATAAACAATAAAAACAACAAGAAAAGTAATAGCAGAATGTACAAGACAGGTGTACAGTTCACACGTGACTGTTCACGGTGTGGAACGCAGCGCCACCCCAAACACCTTGATTGATAAACACTCTGTCTTTCCCAGCACACTGTGTCCAGGTCCTTCAGTGCCTTCCACTGAGATGAATGGTAAACCCCTCAGCATCTTATTTTTGATTAAAAAACCAGAGCTACATATTTATAATAATCAAATACGAGACTCTGATTTTGGGTGATGGCACCTTTTATTTGCTTATATATCACTTATTCATTGTCTGCAGCATCACTGCTGTGTGCTGCATGTCCTCACTCTGACGATGTGGCAATGCCCTCCTGAGGCCACTTGCAGGGAGAGGTGACATTGCCTTAGCAGAGGGGTACTGGGACCCCACAGCTTTTTGTTTTTTTCAAATAGCATTTGCTGCAGTTTCTATTTTATGTGTTATTTGAGGTACTGTCCAGCTGTCAGGTTGCTTGGAGACAAAGTTTGGGGCTGCCTTCATAGAGTGCAGGGATCCTGGGCTCATCCTGGAAACTGGTGGGAAGGCTGGGGCTGCTACCAAGAGCTTTGGCACAGCACCAGCTGCAGAGGTACTTGCTGCAGGTATAATTATAAGGACAGGTTTTACTGTTGCCTCCTTCCACATGCTGGTGGGCGCCAGCTGGTGCTTGGCAGCCCCTCTGGCACACAGAAATACCCTGTGAACTCAACCTTGCTTCCAATTTTTATTTTTTTAATCCCAGGCAAGTGTAGTGTGAGCCCTCAATTTTTGTTGCTAGGTGAATAAACGAGTTTCTGCCGGGCTGTAACTCAGCCTTGTTTGCGAGTGACCCTTGGCGATCTCCCTCACAGGGTTTTTGAATCCCCATCTCTACTCTCTCAGGTGCAACCTTGTACGCACATAAATTCAGTTTTCCTTCACTAGATGTCACTGTCTGTACAGAGAATTTGTAAGTTGACAGAGCAGATGATTAAATTGGGGGTGGGGGGCTGGAAGAGGGAAGAAATCAATTTAGAGAGGGTGTGTAAGGGACCGAAAATCATATTTTCTATTATGTCCAAAATAAGAGGGCTTGCCTCTGAGGTTTGCAAGAGGCATTCAGTGCTGCCTGGGGAAATGAGGTCCCAAGAGCCCTTTCCAAGAAAGACCCAGGGTACTGGGGGCCATCTCACCTTCATCCGTCCTTGCCTCTGCAAGGTGCAGGTGGTGGGACTGACTGGGCCTTTATCTTCTTTCTCCTGGGGCACAGACAGAAAATAATAGTAAATAAGAAAAAGGTCTACTGATTGACATGAAGGAACAATTTTTTCCAGTTTCTGGAGTTTCTTAAACAAATTATATCTTTCTCTCTGGGTTGTGTAGAGTTTTATTTAACACTTTAATTAATCTTACAGGATGAATAGACTACAAAGAAATTAGAATGTGTGCAATGGGCAATTTTTACTGGCAGTTTTTGTGTTTTCTTAGCTGGACAGAGAAAATAATTCATGTGTAGCATCATGCCATTCTTCTTCCTCCTTTTCCTCCAGGTTTTTAATCAATTCAAAGGATGCTTCAGACAGCTAGTTATGGCAATAATAAATAGTGCTTTAAGCAGCGTGGATAAGAGGCGAATCTGGCTTTTGCTACTTTGTATTTACATTCTGGTGTGAGTTTAGCATCACACGATGTCTCTGAGATTACAGAATTTGCTTCCTTGAAGATTTTATCTTGGAAGAGAGCATTGAAAGCTGGGCTTTGCTACACTGGGAATATTGCTTCCTTTGGGTCTGGCAGGTAGTGGAGCGTACAACACACTGCCATGCCAGATCTGCATGGCCTTTTTTTTTTTATTTTCTTTTCACCCCTAAAAGCTCCATTCATTACACTGATATCCTCGTGCAAAAGTAAGGTAAAAACCCAGGTGCTCTCACTCTGTTGTGCAGTGGATGCGGGTGCCGCAGCACCTCAGGATGCAGGGTGACCCGCAACAGGGTGAGATGCTCACGACAGGGGTGAGTGGGCTAACTGGACAGGTCTTGTCAGGTCTCCTCAGAGCATTGCATCCCTCTGTGCCTTGACCATGGACTGTTTCTGCCACCATCAGCCCTGGGTGCAGAGCAGAGATTATTTGTGGTGTGTCTCTAAGTGTTTTCCTGTGATTTGGCTAATTTACATGGGAAGAGGGTGGGAAGCAGGTCTCATCGAGCTCCCTTTGATCTCCTGGCACTTGCATTCTGTAAAGTTTGTAAATAGTCAACATTTCCACCGAGATGCAAATCAAGCAAGGAGTACTACTAATTCAGTAAGGCCTTGGATGGGACTTTTGGCCTTGAATTACGTCCATGAGCCTGCCTGGTGTACTTGATTTCTTCAAGAACTATGCTTCCCCCACAGTGGAATTATCATAGAATCATAGCATGGTTTGGCTTGGAAGGTACCTTAAAGAGTCATCTATTTTCAACACATTCCACCTTTCACTAGACCAGGTTGCTCAAAGCCCCATCCACCCAGGAGAGGGAAGAGGTGCCCAAAACCTCACTATAACACTAGCAAGGGGGTGTGTTGGCTTTTATATTTTTGTTTTCTGGTATGCAAGCAAAATCCTTTATCTAATGCAAACTCTGCCTTTTTCTAAAGCACACGTAGGGACCCAAAGCACTTTACGTTGTGTTTCACTACAATTTGTCTCTGTTCTCATATCAGTGCAATTTTCCTATTCTGCTTTTATTAGCAAGAAAGAGCCATGGGGGGTTGACTTTATACAGTAGTGCAATGAGCCATGCAACCTCTGAACTTGCCTCTGCTTCCCTCTTAAATCTTGGTAAGTGCACAGCAGAGCCCTAGATACCATCTGTGTGCTGGAAGCATGTGTCCTGTGTGAAGGGGGAGCTGAAGGGTGTTGCCAGGACTGGTATTTACGCCTCGTCTTTCCATGACAGTGTTCTCTCGCACAGAGGAAAAAAGACTGAGGGTACATGAAAAAATGTGATTGCTCAAAATCCTCCTCACCGTGGTCTGTAGGGTTCTATTACACTGAAAGAGAAATGTAAAGAGCAGCTCTGTGTAGAATAAATACCAGTTAATGCTTTTATGAAAGATGT